ATTGCTCACCATAGACATGTGCAGTGAGCTTCTCGAGACTGTTGTCAGTAGAATGGATCCGATAAACCCGTCTTAATGAGTACGTTGCATCATCCAAGGAACAAATAGTAATATTCTTGACTTTAATGCTGGAAACACGAACGTTGAAGTAAGTTGTGTTGACTCCATTGTTCCTCCAGCTTTCCATATCATCTGCTAACACATCACGAGAATCATCCAAAGCATCCAGATTAATAACAAAAGAAACATTGTCATTGACAAACGTTGGAATGGTAGAACAAGCAAAAGTGGAAGACTGTAGATTTGGATGTAGAAGCAGACAAATAATATTGTGTACAGAGTAATGACGTTTTTTGTCGTGTGATATACCCTCTAATATAGGCAGCTTCTTATTGTTGTCATAATACTCAGGATCTTTCTTTAAGTATGACTCCAAATTATCAAATCTAAACAAGAATGTAAATAAAAGTAATTATGTATGTACGCATTAATAAAATTAATTAAGAATAAAATTAATTGATGATTAAATTAATTTACTTCAATTTAATCTTCTTCTTTGTAGGCCACTTCTTTTTAGACGCCATTACAGGTAGTAAATCATCATCACTGTCCGAGTTACTAGACTTGATCACTAGGACTACGTCGTCCTTCTCCACGGCGGCCTGTGTGTAAGACGTTATCACACAATCAGAGTCATCAGAGTCGCTCGCGGCTTCATCTCTACTAAGCACTAAAAGTACTGTCTCATGATACAAAACTCTCACCTTGACTTCTTCTTTAAAGGAGACACTGAATCATCATCGCACTTCACAGCTGCCATTTTAATCACATTGTTTATCACAAAAAACGGGTTCAATGGTGCATGGCATATCACGTGATGATACTTCAAATTAAAAAAAATTAAAATTCAAAAGTAGCTACAAAATTCCAGTTATTCCGTATTCCGTTATTCCGCAGTCCGGATTTTACAGCATCCCGATGCCCCTGTCATTTGCAACAAAAGTATCAAAACAAATCTTTGCATACAAGGTCATCTATTGATTGGCCAATTGCATCACTAATATTGAACAGTTCTGGTCTGTTTCACTATTGTTATAGAGCAAGATAGAAAAGACTAGTTACAAGCACCAGGAATTAATGCTAAAGTATAGCTAAATTTTCAACTAAAAAAACTAACCTAATGATTCTACACATCCTTGCTTTCAGTTTGAGGCTGTTATATAGAACTATAAACCATCCAGCATCATATCAATTGCACAAAAAGCAACACAAGGCCAGCCATTACTTTCCCGCCATTATGACGTCACGGGGAAAATAAATTCTCACGTGATCTGCATTTGGTGAAAAGACTGTGTATGTGAGTAGTGATAAGTAGGAGTCACCTTCCTTTTTCAGCAAGTCCTTGGTTGTTTTGACTGCTCTCTCAGCTTCCCCATTACTCTGTGGATAATAAGGCCTACTAGTGACATGATCAAAGTTGTAGCCTTGAGCTAACTTTTCAAAAGATCCAGCTGCAAACTGTGGTCCATTATCAGATGCCACCATCTCTGGAATGCCATGTCTAGCAAAAATACTCTTACAATGATTCATGACTTCTCCAACTGCTGTCTTACTGAGCTTTGCTATTTCAATATAACGGGAGTAGTAGTCAATAATGAGTAAGTATATTGACCCTTTGTAGTCAAACGAATCCATCCTGACCTTCTGCCAAGGCAGTTATGGGAGCTCTGATGGATTAATAGGTTCTTCTTATTGAGAGTAATGCTGGCAACATATTTGATGGCTAGATACTACATCCTGTAGCTGAGATGATAATCCAGGCCACCAAACTGACTGTCTGGCTCTGTCTCGACATTTTGTGATTCCTTGATGACCAGCGTGTATTTGTTGTAGAGCCTTTTTCCTAAGAGACTGTGGAATGATAATTGGAGATACCCGTAACAGCAATCCTTCACATGAGATTTCTGCTGATACAGTGTAGTATGGATGTACTCTCTGGCTGACTTGACTTTTATGAGGCCAGCGTTGTAGACAATACTGTTTTATCTCTCTGCAAATTTCATCCTGTTCTTGAGAGCATTTTATCTCTTCCAATCTTTTCTCTGTAGCTGGTAGTCCATTGACAATCATCTCAATGAAGGCTCTTGTTTCATGTTGTAGCAACAAATCACTCTCAACTGGTTCCCTTGAAGGAGCTCTTGACAGAGTATCTGCAATAATCAACTGCTTTCCTGGTACATGAGCTATCGTATAGTCGAATCTCATCATACGAAGTCTGAATCGCTGAACTGGAATTGGTAGATTTTCAAAAGATTTGTTACTAAATGAAGGAACGAGAGGTTTGTGATCTGTTTGTATGTGAAATCTGATTCCAATCTAATAGTCTCATAGTCTCTCTCACGCCCACGTAAAAGCCAGTGCCTCCTTTTCTATCTGTGCATATCTCTGTTCAACAGAATATAATGATCTAGACACATACCGTAGGTTGGGATATATTCGCGGCTGCTTATTTTCGCGATTTTTTCCTGCACTCAGCAATTACCATGGTTACCAGATGCAATTTTAATTGAAAAATCCGCAATATTAATAGCAAAGGACTCTGTTGCAGTGTTTTTGGGCTTCTTACTGTTACTAATGCTTGGTCTCTTTGGAGCTGTTTCAACCAGAGCTACTCTCTTCACTCTGCCTCGCCGTATCTTGGCCCATTTTTGGGACTCTCTACCCATTTATTAACTTGGGCGTGGTTAAATATCACCAGCAAGTGGAGCGGCAAGGATTTCCAGCAAAAAGCTCAAAGGTAGTGGTCCATACAAGAAGATAGTGGATGAAGAACTGGATGGCTCCCACTAAAGCTGCTAAAAAATAGATAATTAGCTGCTGAACACTGTAATTGTATAAACATGTGGTCTTATTGTCATAGCAACAATCAATTGGTTTCCATGGTATTTAATTGAACCTTTTTATTAGTTTTTATTATCGCAAAAATAAGCAGCCACGAATATATCCCGACCTACAGTATGCAATTGGCTTTACCTCCCCTTCTGACTGAGTTGGAAGTAGTACTGCTCCCAATCCATAATTAGAAGCATCTGCTGATACTGTTGTCTTAGCATTAGGGTCATACAAAGAGAGAACAAGGGCTGTAGACAAAATCTCCTTGAGACTGTGAATCGCTCCTTCTGAGCCTGCTCTCATGTCCACTCGGTATTTTTCAGCAGCAACTCCTGTAAAACCTAAGTTTTGTCAGTCAGATTTGGAATGCATCTGGTTACACATTCCTAAGAATCTCCGAGTATCATTGATATTGTGAGGCTCTTTCACTTGGCGAATAGCTAATATTTTGTCTGGACCAGGATTTATTTCTGTACTATCCGCCACTTGACCTAAAAAATTGACTCATGATTTAGAAAACTGGCACTTATCTCTATTTAGTGTTAACCCAGCTTCTTTAATTTGTCTTAGAGCTTCCCGTGGGCATGCATCATGCTTGTCCTGGTCTTTTCCAAAGACTAGTATATTGTCTGTCATACTCACCACTCCTTGAGCTCCAGTCAGTATGTCAGAGATCCTTCGATTAAAATGCTCTGGAGCTGATGTAATGCCAAATGGTAGGCGATAAAAATAATAACGACCAAATGGAGTGATAAATGTAGTGAGCAATGCAGACTCTGGTGCCAAGGGAATTTGCCAAAAACCTGAGTTAGCATCAAGTTTAGGGAACACCTTAGCTCTAGTAAGTTGAGCTAGTAGTTGTTCAGCAGCAGGTAGTTGATGTCTCTCCTGTGAAACTCTACTTCACATGAAACTCAGACATTGGAGGAGTAGGAGGTCTGTAGGGAGAGGCAGCATATCTCCTACAAAGGACACATTAATTAATGTACTGCCTTATATATGGTATGGCTCTATCTTTGAAATTGTCTTGCACGAGTGTCTTATGAAGATAGACCATTATGGGCATAGATCTAGTATTTTGAATCTAGGGGATGGTAAAAAATTGCAATTGGAGTGAGCTGCGATTTTGGTCACACCCCTTTTTGGTTAAAATTAATAGATCTTTACAGACTAACACTACTAATGCATGATTGTGCAGCTAAGCAGGCTCTTCTTTAAGAACAATGATGAATGTACTGTAGTTCAGCACTGTACAACCATGTGTTTGTTGTTGAGCTTATTATCTTTTATAAGCAGCTTTAATGAAGTCATTCACTAATTGTAGCTCATTCTCTATCTATTAGCTTCTTGCTTGGGCATCTCTAACTTTGAGTTTTTTGCTGCAAATATTTGGTTTTTCATGTTATGGTGATAATAAGTCAAACCTATGTTAATAAATACTAACTGGTGGAATAAGTGAAAAGGTAAAAAAAGTTGTGAAAGGAACTGGTTACTAAAACAAGAAAACTGGCAGGATGCAATACCAAACTGTTTCATGATAAAGTAGCATTTGTTTTGCATTTTTAGTCTTGGGAAGAAATTACAAATAATTTCAGCCACAAATTATTCTGACCTACGTTATTTAGTCATACTGACAATCCCAACATGTTATTGTGCAACATTATCACTCTTTTGTAAATTTCAATTAGTGTTACATAGTGTTTGATGTCTTTTTTGTGTTAAGAAGTGTGTTACTAATTTAGTATTGTGTAAAATATTTTCAAATTTTTGCATTTACACAGATTAACATGTCATTTAGTATTTACCAGTACCATACATACTGTACAGTGCTTTAAAAAAGCTAAGTAGCTACTCCGCAGTTACTCTGCTGTGGTGTAGGTAGTTTGGTACTCTGCATGCGTAATGTGACAGTAGTAGTAGTGCACGTGGTCAGTAGCATACATTAGCTCGACTGTAGAATTGAGCAAAGACCATCCTAAGCAGGCTCCTAAAGCAGAGAGCAGAAGTAGAGATAAATTTTGAGGGTACGGACAGCCAATAGAAGCATCTTTAAGTCCTTTGTGAGCGTCTAGAGTGCGTGAGCGCTTGCTGCTACAGAACATGTGGCTGGGCGGTACTGCAATACTTCCTGAGTGTAGCACAGCAAAGAGTAAGAAAGAGAAGCGAAGTAAAATAACTACTTACGAGCTACCTACGAAGTTCTCTTCTATACTGTGCTCTATTTTCGCTACTTACCTTTTTTAAAGCATTCTACTGTATAATGTATACTGAATTTTTATTGTCAATTTCTTATTGTGTTATTTTTAGGACTTTTCATTCTCCTACTAAAGTTGTCATGGCTGTAAAAGTTAGTAAATTACATCTACTTTTATACTAACGAGATAACAATCAAAGTAGAGGGTACCTACACCTCAAATTTTTTTGCTGAAATTAATTGAAAAGTGTCATTGAAAACATAGCTAAAATTATCAAATAGTAGCATTTCCACTCTAAATTTTGGCTCAAAAGTTGCATTTCCGCCATTTTGTTTGGTATTGGTTGTGGTAACGCAATGATGTGCACTGCAGAGTTTTAGTACGTAAATCAGGACTGGGTCAATCTAAGCCTGTTTAGATATCGGACATGGACCATGAATTTTGGCAATCAGCCCTCATAAAATTTGAAAGTCAGCCACAGTACAGGCCAATAAGCATCAATACTGGATCAGGCCAGACTGATTCAGCAATGATGGCTGTCAGGGCTCTATCAATGCTCATATCAGGTCTAAAGCATTGATTTTGGGCAACAGTTCTGTATCAGGCTTAAAAATACTTATTGGTGGGGGACACTGACAGAGGTTTCATTGAAAAATTTGCAAGTTAAATGTAAGATTTGTGAGCAAAGAAACAATTTTGGATCTCATATAAAGCTTTCAAATAGTTCAGTGACAAAAGCATCTGTTTGCGAAAAAGGTACCGTGGCTAATGATGAATTATCATGCATATTTCAACTTTATATAGCTAATAAGACTTCAGAATAGTTTCTTAGCTGTTTCTTTGCACCTGAGCTTAGTGATCTAGCCTTAAATTTGCTGATATTTTAATGCAAACAAACTCTTGCTATGTTCCCCCATCTACACGACTATGTGACTGTGCCCAATACAAGACAAAATAGTGGAGGGAAGCAATTTTAAGCCAAGATTTAGTGTGGTAATGCTACTTTTTGATTAATTGTAATTTTTATTTTAATTTTTAATTTAATAAAAATTTTACAATAATGAAACCGAAGAATGATATTACAAATGAAAATTAGAAAATATTGTGAGAATACATCATTATTGAAAGGTTGCCAGCAAGCCCTGCTGACACCTTAAAAATGTTAAATGAGTAATCACTAAAGTACGTAATATTTAAAGAGATTATGGAACGGCCCTATACAAGTTGCTGCATGATGGTGTGTTTGCTCAAAGTCACATATCGTTATACGTCTGTGTTATGTTGCCAATGAATAATTATAATCACGTGATAAATAGGTGGGGTTACTATTGACAACATGTGCGTCCTGGTTTGATTGTTGATCAACGTTGTATTTGAATTGTGATGGCTCTGAATCCCAGCAATGCTGTTCCACTTTGCTTTCTTCTTTCTACATCTTTCCTGTTTTTAGCGCTGGGTGATATATCAAAACTAATGATATTTAATCGATATAATGCGGTATCGATACTTATCAATATCGAAAAAATTTAAAGGAAATATCGATAACGAGACCACACCCACAAAATGGTTACATAACTTTAATAAATGGTTAATTAACTATAGGAGTAACATCTCGAAAATTACTAAAATGTATTTTCTTGGAAAGTAGATGAAGTAGCTGAACTATATGAAGCCAAAGAATGTTTTTATAATGCTTTTCAATAATAATTGTTCTCAGAAATAGCTTTATTTAGCTGTTTTAGTAATATTAAAGTTAATGGGTGTGGCTTAATAACTTATCAATAAAAAGTATCGCTATCTTCATTTTTAGGCAATATCGTATCATATCGTATCGTTTCAAAATTTTCAATATCGCCCAGCACTACCTGTTTTTGGAAGAAATAGCCAAGTTTTTAGAATCTCAAGATGTATTTGGAGTCACATGGTGCACTTAAAATGAGCAGTCGTGTCTAGTCTTGCATCACAAGCAGTTGTATCTCCATCCTCCTGTTGGTCCTACTAGTAGCTAGATGCAAGATATCTGTCACTCTTAATCAATACATGGTCCATATTTTATTAAGAGAGGTAGAATCTGGGAGTATGTATACTAGATTCTCCCTTAGAAGATCTTCAGAGGCTGTGCAAGAAATACTCACCTTTCTCTACTACTTTTATGTTTTGCCCTGGAATTCCAGTAAGAAAGTATGATGAGTACCAGGCAATAATTCACTTTGATATCAAAGGTGTTCGTAAGACTATGATTCCTTTTACTTGAATTGATTCCATCACATGTGAAATGTGGCATGAACTACCAAGAAATTCTAGCCAAATGAAAAGGAAGTCAGAGGAATTGCTTTGTTGTCAAAGTGTCTGTTTGAAATGCAATTTGGAGAGGCAAGTGAGGCGTACAAGTGAAGAGAGCCCTTCGAAAAAGTTAAAGAGACAGTGTGCTACATCAAGAGCTAGGTTGACATATATGTCACCCAATAGTCAAGTGAAGAGAAAGGCTAGCCAAAAGATTTCAAAAGACAGCATGTCACGGAAGCTTAATCAGTATTTTGCTGAAAAGGTCACTTTCGATGAGGAACAGAATGAAGAATTGAACAATGTTATGACTGTAATTAAAGGTAAGTGTAGAAAAGAGTTAAATGACATATTTGCTGAGGGAGAGATGCATGGTGTTGCTCAGAGGATGAGATATATTTGGGAAAGTGACAAGAATAGTGAAGTGGAGCAGTTTACTCTAGATCAGAGCCAGAATAAGCTGATGCATGTATAGTGATATGAATGACATTATGTGCATCATTATTATAGATTCTGGGAAAAAGGCTATAAATGGAGCTCAATTACAATTAGAATGGTATACTTTTTATTTCCATGCACTTGTTTTATTATTAAGATTAGCTTTAGTAGTTTTCACGTGTAGCCCTACAGCATATGATGCCTTAAAGTCTTTTAGTATACTGCAACTTCCCTCTCGATCCACACTTCTAGCATACAAAGGGGCCTTTCTACACCAATGTGGAGCTAATCATGAAAGTATTGCTGATCAGGTAGCTCAGTTTATAGTCTGTTGCAAATATAGAAGAAGAGAATGGAGACAGGAATCAAAGAATGTAGGTGTACTAATCTTTGATGAGGTGAAGGTGATGAGTAGGCTGATCTGGAATTCCAGAAGTCAGACCATCATTGGATTGTGCATGACACATGATCAACAGTCATCTCTGTCTGATATATACCAGCTACTTTCTAATGAAAGTAAATTTCAGCAAACATCATACATACTCCAGTTTTTATGGAGAGATCTGGCAGGTATTTTTACTAATTTTTCTGAACATTTGGTAGTACTTTTCTGGATATATCATAGCAATAATTTTTTAGTTATGTTTTTACATGTAGGAGATTTTGACATCATCGGCCCTTATTTTACAAGCTCAAAGACACTTGAAAGCAAATTTATTTATTCATGTGTCATGGAAACAGTTAAACTGTTTCACTTGCATGGGCTTAAGACTCTTCTGCTGGTTTGTGATGGCACATCTGTAAATTTAACAACTCTTAAAGCAACTCATAGTCATTTTGGAGTGTATCCCATTACAAGTGGTACACATATGGTTTTATAAAAAATGAAATTAAAAAATTTATGTTTAGGTGATGATCATGAACCTTTCAAAGTCAGTCCCAAAATGCTAAATCCTTTTGATCCACCGAACCACATTCATTGGATGATATGTCCTAGTCATCAAGTGAGATAGAATGTGCACGCATGTGTACTGTATAATTATTCTTGAACATAATAGCTCAAGAATATAATCAACAAACTTTTCTCTTTGCAACAAAATGGAACAAAAGACTTTACATTGAAAGGTGTGGAATTTGGATGGGAAACTATTGTTTCGCTTTATAAGCGAGTTTGTGAGAGAGTGAGTAAAGGCCTAACAAGAATGGTATACCTAAAATGAAAGAGGCTTATGTCATTCGAGATGCTTGGACGAAGTTAAATGTTGCTCCAGCATAAATAATGCAGGTTACAAGTAGATTTAACTTACCTTATTAATTGACTTACTTTATATTCTTGTTATTAATAGCAAGATCATGTTCTAATGGAGTTGTCCAATTATATTCAAGAAAACCCGAATGCCGATGATGTGTGCAGTGTCAGTATTACTCTGAAGTTCTTGGAAGCCTGTCAAAACTTTTTTGAAGATGGTTTGTTATCTCATTCAAGAGTCACTCACATGAAATCAGATGTCATATGTTCAGTTGAAGAAGGATACTTGTTTTTTTTTACAAATTGGCTTAATCAAATTATAAACAAGCGTAACAGTGTAAAAATATTCCTATAATTGTTTTCACCACTTTGCATGTACAGCTGGGTTCTTATTAAGACTTATGAAGGTTCTCTCTACCTTCTAATGCTTCCAGAAAAGACTTTAGACAGTATCTCTATGTTCTCTTGCTGTTAGAAAGCTCATAACTTTGTCCCATGTGCAAGCTGCCATTTTCTTTGCTGTAACCACACCCACTTAAGTAGCGTGGGAGGGTGGTTGCTAAGGCTTGTTATTTCTCTAATACAACATGTATAGAAGAAATGTAAGTGGGACGTACAAATAATTATATATATCTCACGTGAGTGAAATCAATTATATGACGACCTGGGGGCGTAGCGCCCAGGTCGTAAAAATGGTAATTAAAATCATTTTATAGAATATCCTGTCTTTTTATTAGTCATAGATCCTAACTTTGGCCAAAAAAGTTTGATTCAGCTGACTATGCTATTTGCTGTGCCTCAAATTTGATCCAACAAACAGTTTGCAGCCATCATAGTGGAGTAGGCTATCGTGACAACGAAATGTCAACAGCAGTGCTTCCTCTAAAAAAGATTTATGGACAAAAGAATAAATAAATAAAAATTAATGTATGCATAATTGTACAACTATAATTAAGTGTATAAATGAATGCAATGCTATGGTCATAGTGTATAATAAAATTAATTATAGTTATAATTTTATATGTAAGAATTCTGTTGTTAAGAATACGTATACTATATCCCAGTTTAGTTTGGGACGGAAGTGGGAGCAGCTGCGTGGAATTTGAAAAATGTAGGTACGTCACAAAATGATGTAAATAATGATATTCATAGAGAAATGGCGGCTGTGTTGTTTCACTCTTAAAACAGTCTTGCTGCTGCTGATAAGCAGTATAATTGTCAGAATGGCTAAGGCCGCGAAGCGGCTGCAAGCTATTCTGGATTATATGAAGAAGGTGAAGTTGAGCACATCAACTGTGTTTGGCCAGTTTTCTTAACTCATGGCTAATTTGAAGTTTATAACCAAAGTTTTATAAGCAAGGTTTTATAACTCTTGTACCGCCCATCTGCCCACTTGCCTCATGTCTATATAATCCCATGCACTTGCCATTTCCAGTCAGCCTTT